CACGGGAGAGAGGAAGGGTGATTGTCACCAGATTCATAGAAATAAATGAGATTTTCAGCAAAAGAGAGAGCTCTCTCTGCCCGTAATAATATACTGCATGTCAAATTGATTGATTAAATTTTAATTTTATCATTATGTATCTCACCAAATAAGGATAAACTAAATGTATTTTGACTTCTTTTTTTTGGTTTATTGTTTATCTAGTTCAGATAAATAATAGATTTTCTTTTACACAGCTGTTTTTTCCAATATTTCCTATAAAAAGTGACCAGGAAAGGGAATCTACTGTGATGATACAATTCATTACGTGTTTGGAGTATAAATACTCCATACTATAAGCTATCTGAAATGGAAGAGAATGTAGGGGTAGAATGTTTGCATGGAATGGTGCTTTATTTTATTTTACTTATGGCTCCTACCTATTATAGAACTGGAGTACTGGATCCTCTTTTCCCATCAGCTGATGGGTTTATTTTGAAACAGAAGTCCACGACTGCCTGGCTACTAGATTATCTGAAAGGCTGGAGGTACATTTGTGCTGCAGCTGCCATGTTTGTGAAGATCTACACTACCCTGAAGTATTTTTCAAATGCGGTAAAGAGCATGTTTAAAATCAGAGTAAATATAACCCATTTATGGGACAGCGTATGCATCCACTGTGACCTGAACCACCCGCCCAGAGTCCAGAGGATTTCCCACTTTTCTGTGTGCAGGGGTGCTCTTTAAAATCTGAAAGATAATAATTAGTACTACTATAAACTTTTTCAGATGCCTGGTGCCTTCTGCATTTACATCATTTTCGTATCAGAGCACGTATACCTCTTAAATATTTTAAGTATCATAGGAGCCCAGAGGGTAGGTTGATGCTCCCATCTGTCTTGCAAGATGTAAAGTGACTTTCCCAAGGTGATGCAAGTATTGGAGCAGTAATGTACCCAGAAATGGAGCTCACTGCCATGGATTTTAGTCCATTTTCCTTTAAAAAAGTCTCTCAGCTCTTAATTTGTCTGATACAACCCAGTTTAGGGTATTAAAGTTATGATTATTCAGGGCCAAACCTGGCATGGTCCATCTATACAATGTAAACAGGGTTGTTTTCCTAAACAAAATGATTCACAGAACTCCTAACTGGAAGAAACTGTTATGTACCACTGGCTACCTCTCCACTGCAAGGTATCACATGTCTTGTGCTTCACTAAAAGCATTTCTGCCAGAGAGGATCCAGCCTTAATCTGAAAACCAAGAAATCGATAGTCTGCTGTGCCCTTTGCTGTGGGGAACAGTCAATCTCACTGCTTCCATACTTGCTGCTTCCTAATCAGAGCTTGTCTGGCTGTGTCCTACATTAATTCACCAAATACCTGTCTCTGCTGCCCGAGTCCTCAGCATGATTTCCCTGTAAATGTTTCTGTGTTGTACAGGCAGACCACCCCTCAGAAAGACTTCAGGGCTGACAGTTCAGACTGAGCTGCTAAAAACTGAGCAGTTTCTTCTAGCTTTTTGAATACCACATTGGCTCTTTCCTGGGCATGTCCAGTTTTTCAACATAATTTTAAAGATCTGGAAACCAGAACTGAACTTGCAATTCAATTTTTTCCCCACATTATTTTTTCTAAAATAATAAAATATATCAGAGGAGTGTGCTGTCCCTCCTTGCCACAACCCTGTGCTAGGAGGTCAGGCACACTTGCTCATGCAGGCTCACTGCTGGAACCCACTGCAGGGTTCAGGCTTGTGTCACTCTAGATGCAGGCTTTCATTCCTGAGGCATGGCCAGAACTTTGCATCCAATCATGTTCAGTTTGCTATTTGTGCACCTTCTTTTTTTTTTTTTTTTTTTTTTTTTTTTTTCCCTTCCCCCCACCCCTGAGCAGTGGGGGAGCATGTTTTGGTTTGTTTCAAATGGCCTCAAGTTGCAGTGATTTGGATCTCTCAGTATAACCACATTGTCCTCATTCATTTTTCTGCATCTGAGTTATCACCTGCAAATTTTGAAACGTTTATTTCCATCATTGGTGCTTTACACTCTGGAACATAACTCTAAATATTGTGATTAGATGGTATTTTCCTGTTTATAGGTTTTTTGGAGACCTGTCAGGTTGCCCAAACATTGATCCTATCCCTTACTGAATGACATAGCTGAGGGTGTAATTTAGGACATTGAAGACAAAATTAGTGGAGTTTGGTCAGATGGAAAGGGAGCAGTTCCCTTATGTTCAGACTATTTGCATGTGTGGTTTGTTCCATTCTGTTTCCATGTACTGAATGTGCCATTCTTTGTGTCTGAAATAGTAGCAGAATAACCTAATGGTTACTAAGGTAATGAGAACTCACCGTTCCCTTACCAGTTCATGTAAATAAAGTATGGAATTTAATTTCACTGTGTTACCTGAGGCAGTTCTGGCATCTGATAAAACAAATGATCTTCACATTCTTCTTCGCTTCCTTTCTGATTTTCATTGAAAGATTGAGATGTTTCTCTTTTTGCAAGTAAATGTGGCTGCCCTGCAGATGGTGGAGTAGAAAGTGGTCTAAGGATTAGATCTTTTGTTTTGCAGCTGTTTTTCCTATGTGACCCAAAATATATTTGTCTTCCTGCTGAAACATTTCTATTGCATGTGATCAGGATTGAAGATTTGACACCTGTAAGAGTTCCTCTTTTTCTCTTGATACACAACTTACACAATGAGTATCTGTTCTTCTGCTATGGATTGCAGGCATAGAATGAGTGTGAATCCCAGATTAATTTCTTAATCAAAGGAAGGAAAGCTTTTTCCTGACTGTGTATTAGAAAGCAATATGGTAAAAACACAGATTTGCAAATGCAGGACACCAGTAGATGAGTGGGAGATACTTACCTGGTGAAATGATTCTTGACAAGAATTGTCACCAGCCTTGAAAGTGTAGGCAGCAAACAAGAAATCCGAAGGAGCTCTGACCGCTGTGCAATGAAGCAACACTACACCCCAGACCATCTTGACTTTGTAATGGAAAAAGAGAATCCGTATCAAGCTACTCAGCAGCTAATCAATCACCTGAGTGCACCAGGCTGGGCATGGAAGATTGTATCTCTTATGTACACGAGGAGGAAGAAGCAGCAGCTGGGGCATGGGATGGGGTTGTGCTTGAAGTGAGGGGAAGAGGAAGAGGAAGGCAGCTTGTTACGCTGCACTATGGGCCTGCAGATTTTCTTATCCTACAGATTATGAACAAATTAATATCTTAACCACGTTGAAGTGATACCAAGTCATGGGTCACTCACAAATATAAGTTGCCACAAGTGGGGTATTTTCGCCTAATAGCTATTAGGATATCAAGACTTTATATTCCAACAGCCTACCTGCTCAGTGAAGTAGATTGGGGAGATGAAGCGGACAGCTGGCATAATATATGGACACTTGAACCCGGAAACGAAAAGACAGCTGCTGGATCTAATTTTAAACACAGGTCTTGATCAGATGCCCCTAGATCCTGGTTGTCTTGCTACAGCAAAGTCATTAGTGGGAGTAGTGAGGAGTGAAGTTGAAGATAACAGTAAAAAGCTTTTGTGAGAAGGGGAATCACCCTTGTTCCGGTTATGGTATTTCCGTTTTTCACAGTAAGTATTGTCAACTTACTGAAAATGTGAGTGGAAACAGTTTCTGGCTGGTACGTGGTCTAACACTGCTTGTCACGGGCAACCTCTCTGGGATGTCTTAAGGGGCAGTGGGACTCTGCCCTGACAGCACAAGGGTAGGCAGCGCTGTTTCAAATTAGGAAACTATGTAACTGAGTGGGTTTCTTCTAATATTTTAAAATAATATATAGTTACAGTATCAGTCACAAGATTATAATTGTGAGTTGTTACATCAGGTGTCAGGAATGCAGCGGGCATTAGCAGCGATCTGGAGTGCCATCTAGTGGGGCTGTGCAAATCTGGCTAGTACAAAAATAGCCACAATATCATACTGGTATAATTCTTCATTTAGGATTAGTTAGACGTTTTATTAATTCAGAAGCTGATTAAGTATTTATATTTAATATTTTATTTATATAATATTAATATGTTTTGTTTTCAGAATGCTATTATAAAGTTGGGGGGGTTGCTTTAAAGTGTGACAGTATTCTGCTTTATTATGACTATGATGCTAAAATTAAGGGCTATGGAAACATTTCAAGTACTCGTTCTCTCTCGGAAGTCAGCTGTCCTATGACAATTTGCAGTAGACGTGGAAGCAAGCAGCACATTGCTCCTCTGACATGAAGATTCCTCTCTGTTAGATCACTGTTAACCACATGATAGGTTTGGAAATAACAGCATTGTTGATTTATATCTGTTTCAGGAAAACGAAACTTTTTTGAGAATTTTTTTTTAAATAATATAAAACTTGATGAAATAAAAATAATAATTTTTTTGTTTGTTTTATTACAAAGCTTTAAACTACAGGTTGACTTTATATCTATGGACCTTGATTAGTCTAGAAAAGTTAGAAAAATAGAATTACATTCTTCTAAAGACAGTCTACTTAAACTGGTGTAAATCTCTGATACAGAGATGGTCTAAATTAGTTAATTGAAATATAAGTCCGATATCCAATTAGCTGTCTTTTTTCCTAAGGCAAAGTGGGTAAAACAGAAAGATGTTTATTTAAGGTGGCATATAAAATCTTTGTTGTAAAGCATTGTAAATGGAATGAAAAGAGCTAAAGAGAGAGGCAATCAGAGCTGGAGTTGTGGAGCAGAGACCATAAATGGCCAAGCACATTTCATTTAAGTGTGTTCCCTAATTTTCTTTCAACAGTATTATCACAGCTAGTATTAGGTCTCTCCTATTTTTAAAGTTTCAGCTTTCCTGCCTCCTGTACAACTGAATACTGTTGTTTCGACTCAAAGGCTTTGAAATGACAGCTGCCAAGAATGGTTTATTTCAAATCTTCTACCCCAGGTTTGCTTATGTGTCCTTTCTAAGCATGTATTTTTGCCTGCATCTACCATCTAATTAATGCTCTTATTGCCAACAGGCAAGTTCAGATGTACCAAAATTGCAAAAGGAAGACCAAAAAGCACGAAATGCTCTCTTAGCTGATATCCAGCAAGGAACTCGCTTAAGAAAAGTGACTCAAATCAATGACCGCAGTGCACCTCAGATTGAAAGTAAGTACGTGCTCCCAAGTAAGGTACCTGGGTGAGCTTTGCTGAAGCAGGTCAGCTGAACAGTTTTCAAATTGAAGGGCAGGTTTGAAGTTCAGCAGCTGAAGTTCATATGGCTTTTAGGATGCGGAGAGGGGACACTTTATAAACTTGTATCCTGCTCTAAGGTCATTAACTATTAACAGTTCATAATAAATCTGTAACTGGATATCACCTTAACAGGCATTCCTTGTCAAAAAAAAAAAAAAAAAAAAAAAAAAAAAAAAAAAAAAAAAAAGAATGTTGAAATCCTTGAGAATTTCTCAATAAAATAATTGTTCAAGTGTGAATTGCTGGCTCTGGCAGAAGAATTGTTCTTTACTAGATAAAAAGAACCAAAAAAAAGCCAAAAAATTCTTGAAGCGTAAATTCAATGTTTAACACAACTTCTTGGTGTCATTATTGATGGGAGATTTAAAAGCACCAGAGGGTGCTGTGCTCCAAGCTTATGGGTCAGAGAGTAATGGTAGTTTACTGTATTAACAGTAACTTTCCTTGCTGAGCCAGCTTAAAGAGGCAAACGGGTCTTGGCTATGTTTGTTGGTGCCAAGTCTTACCAGTCTGAGGGCAAGGATGAAATGACTTGCTGATATACCCTGTTTTTTTGTTTCTTTTTAACAGAACCCAAAGGAGCTAATAGAGATGGAGCTAATCCAGCCATTAATAAAGGAGGCTCTCAGCAGCCTCTGGGAGGCTTATTTGCTGGTGGCTTTCCTGTTCTCAGACCAGCAGGCCAGAGGGACATGCCAGGTAAGGGCTTCATTTGTATGAAAGAGTAGCTGGGGGGAACTGTGATTTGGGATAAAAGTACTTTGGGTTTAGCTTTACTGATTGATTTTCATTGTTGTTTTCTGAACCCTTAGTTCATGATCATGAATAGCTCAATTAATAATGTGCTTGAAATCATCTTTCTAGATTTCAGGTGCCTTATTCCTTAAAATGTAAATAATAAGCTATCTCTACACTGGATAGGAAAGAGATGGAATAGATTGTACAGAGTTTTAATGGAGACTTTGCATTAGTTTAATTAAAACTTTTAATTGGGCCTCAAATGGTGTATTGAAATCTGATCTTACCAACTTCAGCACAAATGGCAAAGAAGTCATATTTCCTTCCCTCCATTATCATGTATTTCTATGATACTGTAGACTTGTGTGCTACTTTAAAGATTCATATCCAAGAGTTTTGCCCTCTGGATTTTATAGAGTACAGCTTTGATCCAGCAAGGTAATTTACTGACCTGAAAAAGGTTATGTTGCTTCACAAAGACAGGAGGCATGTGTGGGAGCCCTACTGCTGCTTTCAGCTCAGGAAGTGCCCCAGCATCAATGAGGGGTGACTTTTAGCATCACAGCAATGACCTCTGGTGCTGTTGGACAGCTGGTGCCTGCTCAGGCAGCACAGAGCAAAGTGTGCATTTGCAAGGAAAGACAGAACTTGGCTCTACCTGCAGGGTTGTTTTTTTTTTCCTGGAATGCAAACCCAAGATGTGGAGCACTGCTTGTGATAGGGCTTCCCCCACATAGCTTCATCTGCAGTAGCCTTTGAGTTGTTCTTAAAACTATGACCGTGCCTATCAGATTATGTGAATGTAGAATAAGATACCTTTTTTTGACATCTTGCTTTGTGAAAAGTCCTTGACATTTACTCAGGAAAACACGTTTTGTAAGATCAAGAGTCTCTGGGCATTTGCTGTTGAAAAGGAAACATTTGATCCTGTGCCTTCTGGAAAGGCTTTGAGGCACTACTTTTAAGAACTCGGGTTTTATACACGTTTGTGTGAATTTTTTAATCTTAAATACTTAACTTCAAGGATGTAAGTTGAAGCGTGTCAATCTACTTGTGTTCTTTGCGGCCTTTTCACTAGGACTGGGGATTCCTCCAAGCAGATGGCTCACCCGTGTTCAGCGGGCTGTTGCCAGGCAGATGAGGCTGGTATGAAGGGCCCCGGGCCCCTGCAGAAAAGCACCTTCTCCTTAAACTGTTTCATTTTTTCAGAAACTGAGGAACAGGGAGGGGAGCAGGGTCTCTCAGCAGATTGTCACGTAACTAAGCAGAGTCCCTGGTGCCCACCACAATACATCACCTTCTAAGCCCCATTGCACCAGGGGCAATCTGTTGGATAGATGTTTTGCGAGAATTTGTTACTCAGAGTGACCGCTGGGGAGGGGAGGTGAAGAGCTTGCTCTTTGCACTGTTTTGTCTGATGAGCAGGAACAAAATCCTGATGTATGTACGGTGTGATGCGTGTTTTTCAGGCGGGAGGCCTGGGCAGCTCCCTGGAGTCCGAACAGCGGCTCCCAAGACCTGCGCCCCACCGAACAGCAGCGCAGCGAAGGCGAGCGGTAACGCCTCGCACCCAGCCGAAGGCCCGAGGGCAGCTGCTCCCCCACTGCCTC